AAAATGTAAGCAGAAAGGTCATTTGAAAAGACACAAAAACAATGTTCCTTCCTATCAAATATGGAAGGGTGTGAATCTTCTGGAATTGGATGCTTTATTGTATGCTATGGATCCCCACATTGGGGAACAATAAATAAATAATAAACAAACCAATAAATTTTCACCTATCTTGAGGAAACTGATCTTGTTGCTAATTGTTAATTCATTTCCTCCTTCATTAAAGAGCACATTCTTCTATTCATCAGAATATGTCAAATGCGACAATAAAATTGGGATGTCCAAGCCATTAAGGGGCAAAAAAAGGCTTCACTGTGGAAATTGAAAAGTTAATATGTTATTGCAAAGAACCGTAGAATGGGGGCAACCAATAAATTTGGGCTTACCTTGGCATTTGCTTTTAGCCTACATACGATAGGAAATGTAAGGCTCAGGTGTGATGTGACCAAGGCACATATTCAGGCAGTTCTCGACCTACGATCAATCATTTAGTGACAATACAAAGTTACAACAAATCCCTCCCCCCAAAAGTACTTACAATGAGGGTTCAGAAGTTCCAATGGCCATCTCCTGGTCATGTGATCGCATTTCAGGTGGTCAACAACTGGCTCACTTTTATGGGCACTTGTAGCATCACATGGCCGTTATTTACTTTTTTTTGCTGAAAATCAGCATTTGCATCTGGTTTTTGGCAAAAACACCCATGGTGAATAATGGGTTTGTTAAACACGAAAAAATGTTAAAAAAATAGATCTGGTTGCATGCTGATCCACTTTACAGCTTTCACAACTTACCACCACAACGGGCAGACTGCATTATAGTTGTAATGGACAGACCCATTTCTTGGCTGCAAAAAAATAGGTAGGGCTTCCTTTTAGCTTCATCCCTTTTAAAGTGTAATATTCTGCTTCACTGTATAGAATAAAAATAGATAACACTGTTTTATGAAGAGTCCTCTTTGTTGCCATAGTTATTATTAGGTATATAAAAATGTCAGCAGAGAATGCTGGCTGTCTTCAGATTCCAAGGAACCAATTAAAGATGGGGAAAGTGAGGGATGAGTAGAAATTGCAATAGCTTTGATGCTATCACCATTATGGTCTTTGGGCATCACACTTTCCCCAAGGAAAAATACAGTCAGTATGTTTACAGCTTGACTACTTAATTTCTACTTGATTGTATGAATTCCATCTGATATTTTGCTGTGTTCACCACCAGGAAGATTTCAGCTCTTTATTTTTATCTTACTTGTTGTGCTGATCCTGTTGTTAAAGATCTAAATTTAGTTACGGGGTGGTGTAAATACACCACCAGCCAGGATGCTAGACCAGAGGCTATTTCCTTTTGTATTTGTGCATTTTCCAAGTAATGAGCTTTGTAGTTCCTTTCTTCACCTAGCTTCCCAGATATGCCTTCTATGAGACAGTTGTATACAAGATTCCTCTGTTTCTGTTTTCAATAAAGTTGCATTCGTAGTCATACATTTTTATAAGCCTATTTTCTACATGTTTAGGTAATCTCTGATTATATTTTTCAAATTCTGTTTCAGTTTTAGGACCAAAGATTAGCTAGCCAGCTCAATGCTTCCCAATTTTTTTCCTTCATAATTCAAAACTGCTTATCAGAAAGTCCTTTTTTATGCACTATAGGTAAAACACTTAAGTCAATTTAAATGCCCCTGTTATGATTGTGTAATGGGTTTGTGTGTCATTACCAAAGAAAAAAACATTTTCCCCCGGTTTTGGGTAATTTACCCAGGTTTGGGAGCTGCTCCTCAAGATGTCAAATGAATCTTGAGATTTGACTGGAGAACGGGGAGATAAAGATCATGAATCCCAACAGTGAAAATTATTTATGAAGGAAAAGCCAACTAAGGCAGAATATCAGCAGGCAGACAGAACCTGCAAAGATGAAGTCAGGAAAGCAAAGGCTCAGAATGAACAAAGACTTGCAACAAAAGTCAAAAATAATTTTAAAAGTTTCTTTCAACATATTAATAACAAGAAAAAAGTTACAACGGCACTGAAAGAAGTGACTTACAACCGTTTTTCACACTTATAATCATTGCAGCATTCCCATGGTCACTTGATCAAAATTCAGATGCTCAGCATCTGACTCATATCCATGACTTTTGCAGTGACGATCACTTTTTGCGATCTTCTGAGAAGCAAAATCAATGGGGAAGGCAGATTCACTTAACAATAAGGTGACCAACCGTCCTCCTTTAGGGAGGACTGTCCTCCTTTTGTAAGTTCTGTCCTCCCTCAAAAAGTGTCCTCCTACATGTCCTCCTTTTTGATAGTTGAAGACTAATCTGCAGGGCTTTTTTTTTCTCATAGAACGCTTAGAATGGCGTTCCGGCACCATTTTTTGATGTTTTTTTTTTCAACTTTTGCATGTGCTGTGCTACTCCCACTATTGGCTTTTGAAAGCCAATAGGAATTGCTGCTGAACGTGCCAAAACACCCAGTCGGCAAACTTTGCACATGCAAGTTGTCTGTATTATTGTTGCAATAAATAAAATGTTTATTTTATTTATGATATTTTTTTCTTCAATTTATTTGTGTCCTCCTTTTCATTGTAAAAAAGTTGGTCACCTTACTTAACAACCATGTTACTAAATTAACAACTGCAGTGATTCACTTAACAACTGTGGCAAGTTCGTAAAATGGAGCAAAGCTCACTTAACAGTTGTTCCACTTAGCAACAGAAACGCTGGGCTCAATTGTGGTCTTAGGTTGAGGACTATCTGTAGAGCTGCACAGGTTTTGGGAACTCTATTTCACAGCTGGGGATTAGGGGGAGGATACCAGGTGAGGCACTCCTTGGAAGAAAGGAGGTGACAGCAGTAACTACTAAGAAGGCTTTTTGTAAAGGAAGTCTGAAATCTTGAATTTGCAGTTATGATATAGCTAGAGGTAAAAAGGTCATCTAAAGGAGGGCATCAGCTTCATAAAGAAAAATGTGGGGGAATTTTACAAGGTGAGGCAGATGTCTTCATTTTAGCACAGCCCATCAAAGTAGCAATGAAAGAGAAGACCCTTTCAATCACTAGCTGATAGCCAAAATGCATTGTTTCATTGTTGGACTGCTTATGGAAAAGGAATTCATACAATAAAATTGTGTCTTAATGTGAACGAAATCACAGCTTAGAATATCAGTTAAAACATCAGGAATACTCTCCAGAATATTTAAAATCAAGAAAAGGATTTTAAAAAGCTGAACTTTGCTGTTTTTTTCCACTCCCCCCCCCATCTGAAATGGAGACATTGCGTTAAGCCATAGTGTGGTTGAATTTTGTAGTATGTTTGGCTTCAGGTTTAGCATGTGCAAATCTAATCAGCTGTGATTTTTGCCAGAGAATCCTATGCAAATATAAATCCATGCAATACATGAACCCAAATGTGAGCCTACGGACTCTTACCATGGTTGCCACCAAAATATATCTAGGTACATGTAGTGACTTAACAGAATAACAAAGTAGAATAACAGAATAGTAAGAGTTGGAAGGGATCTTGGAGGTCTTCTAGTCCAACCCCCTACTCAGGCAGAAAACCCTATACTATTTCAGACAAATGGCTATCCAGTCTCTTTTTTAAAGTTTCCAATGATGGAGCACCCATAACTTCTGAAGGCAAGTCATTCCACTGATTAATTGTTCTGTCAGGAAATTTCTCCTTAGTTCTAGGTTTCTTCTCTCCTTGATTATTCAGCTTAATTGTCGAATTGGAATACAAGACCGGTGGAACATTAAACTAAATCTTAATACATATCTTGGTAGCAGGCAAGTTCCTTCCCCCTTAACGCATTAATGCGATTTGTGTTCTTTTGGCTTAGGCTGAATCCAATCATTTTGAGCTCATAAGCCGTGGTTTAGGACTTAGCCTGCTATGCCAACCCAGCCAATTTGTAACAAATAATAAACTGGGTGGCTTTATCAGCGCTTGGAATCCAGCAAAATATTTTCTTGGAATAGATTTTAAGGAAAAAAAATATAACCAAGGCCAGGATCATACAGGTAGTCCTCGACTTATGACCATAACTGAGCCCAAAATTTCTGTTGTTAAAATGAGATATTTGTTAGATGTTTTGCACCATTTTACAACCTTTCTTGCTTTGGTTAACTGAATCACTGCAGTTGATAAGTTAGTAGCCCAGTCGTTAAGTGAATTTGGTTTCCCCATCGACTTTGCTTGTCAGAAGGTCACAAAAGGAGATCACATGATCTCTGGGACATTGCAACGGTCATAAATACGAACCAATTGCCAGGCATCTGAATTTTAATCACATGATCATGGGGATGCTGCAAAGGTTACATGAAAAATGGTCACTTTTTTTCAGAGCTATTGTAACTCTGAACGGTCACTAAATGAACTGTTGTAAATTGAGGACTACCTGTACTGTACAGCAGACAGGTTGAGGGAGGTGGTAGCGATGGGAAGCAGAAGGAGGGGGGGAAGCACCAGAAGGCAAGACAAGAAGCAATGGATGGAAACTAATCAAGGAGAGAAGCAATCTGGAATTAAGGAGAAACTTCCCAACAGTGAGAACAATTAACCAATGGAACAGCTTGCCTTCAGATGTTGTGTGTGCTTCATCACTGGAGGTTTTGAAGAAGAGACTGGACAGCCACTTGTCTGAAATGGTATAGGTCAGTGGTAGGCAACTTGGCTCTTTTATGACTCGTGGACTTCAACTCCCAGAATTCCTGTATCAGCCAAGCTGACTCGGGAATTCTGGGAGTTGAAGTCCACGAGTCATAAAAGCCAAGGTTGCCTACCCTGGTATAGGTCCTCCTGCTTGAGCAGGCGGCTGGACTAGAAGACCTCCAAGGTCCCTTTTAGCTCTATTCTGATTTGATTTGATTCAGGAAAAAAAGGAGAGTGCAAGATATGAATGTTTAGATGAATAAATCAAAGGAGGTCGGGAGCGAGTTGTCATCCCCAGCGGTCTCGCACGGCTGCGCTCTGCCAAATCGACCCGTCTCGCCTCGCCATTTCTTTCCCCAGAGGGGTTGAGGGGGGGACGGTTGAGGGCTGTCTCCTCCCCTTTTGTTGCGCTCAGTTCTTGCCTTGGGAAGACTGGCTCCTCCGTCCAGGCTCGGGAACCGGAGTGGTGGTGGCGCCGCTGTGTGTGTGTTGATGTAGGGGGGAGCGCGGATTCGCTCGGGTGAGAGAAAGAAAGACAGAGAGGAGCCGCCGAGCGGTACCCGCTTGCCAGCATGTCTTCCAGCCCCACCGTCAACTACGTGAAATGCATAGTGGAGCAGCTGAAACTCGAGGCCGGCGTGGAACGCATCAAGGTGAGCCGCCTTTACAAAGAAGAAAGAAAAAAAAAAGGGGGGGGGCGCCTTCGGCCGCTCTGGGACTTCGGGCGGGGCGAGGCGAGGCAGGCGCCGGGGCCGCTTTTCTCTCTCTCGCGGCTTCATAAAGCCTGCCTTTGTCTTCTCTACCCAACTCGGAAGGCGGGACGCTGGAGCGCAGCGAGCAGGCATCAGGGATGGGAGAACAGGGCCGCTGTCGGCTCTTGTGGGTTGGGGTTTTTTTTTTTTTTTTGGTTCCGGTCGTCAGGGAGAAGACGAATGTAGCAAATTGGGGTTTTGGGTGGGGGGTTGCTTGTTTCCGGAAAAGCGGGGTAGCAAATTGGGGTGGGGACTTGCTAGTCTCCGGATCATCCTGGTCCGCTCACATTTGAGGTTTGCATGGGCGTTGGAAATAAAACCGGCCATTGTTGGTCTGCAAATCAAATGGGCTTGCGAGGGGGCAGGGCCGGGTTTTGTTTTGTTTTGGTTTCGTTTTGGGACGACACCATTGCGGCTTGTTTTAGTTGCCTTGGCTTTGTGTTCGCACTGACTTGCTGGGTGGTTGCTTAAGGTTTATCTTTTGCTGCTATTTTGAGGTCGGCGTCGAGGTGCTTTCCAACCAAGCTCTTTTCCGGCGGGGGGGGGGGATTCGGACTGTTTGTCTGAACGGCTGGTGAGTGTTGTAAACCCGGCTATTGATTTTTAAGGCGTCTTTTTTTTTTTCTATGGAGAGGGTGTGACTTCTGGTATACAATGCAAAGCAACGGCCATTGTTGGCGTATCCTGGAGTATCTTCATAGTATCCTGTACCATCAAGCGTTTCAAGTACAATGGAGTTGTAAAAAAAAAATGGGTTTCATAAATGAACCACGCTTGATTATAATCCCTTTTGCGGTTTTAGGTAACACTCTTGTGACTATATTTGTAGGTGAGAAAGTCCCTGATAGCTGCTTGTTCCAAGATGGAGAGGATATAGTAAAAATGAGACCTTTGCCAAAAATTGTGCATTTTTCAAAGGCCTTTTTCTCAATTCTGCATTTTTTAAAATGTGTTGGATCAGTTCCATAATCCTCAGCCACCCTCATTCTTTGAGCAGTTCTGAATTGTTAAAAAATTGTTTTCAGCCAAAGCAGAGTTTTAAAAAACACTCATATTGTCATGGTTGACTCTTAGAAACTGCTTTTGAAATATACCTTAATATATTTCTTAGTATATATATCCCAAGAATAACAAATAGAAAGAAGCTGGATTGCCCACTAATATGTGATCAGGGGCATGTTTATGTAAATCAGTAATTTCATAATTTAGAGATGTCTTGTTAATTCTGCAATACTAAGAAACTGAATAACAAAATCAACTTCCAGACTTTACACAAACCTTCAGTATGAAATGCTGATAAAAATAAAGGAAATCAAAAATGTCACTTGATAAATGGATAGAAGCAGAGAATTTGAGTTGAAGGAGATTATTTAGATTATACAGGCCAATATTCCATTAGATTAATTATCTAATTTCAAGCAACCCCAACAATTTTACCCGTTTTCTACTTGAACTCATCCAGGGAAGAGGAGTGATTGTCAAACTGCTCTTAGGAAGTTTGTCACATGGGTGGCAATTCTTTTAAAGAGAAGGGTAGAATATTAGGTAAATTTGCTCCCATTAATGGAAACATCCTCTGTCCATTTTTCAACTTGGAGTTCTGCCAGTAAGAAGAGGCAGTAGAGGACCCTACAGCTGTGCTATTATTCACCCCACCCTTCACTGTTTTTTGCTGGTTGGCTCCTCTGGGCATCACCTATAAACAAAATACTTTTGATTAGGATTCCAGGCCATGGTGATTAGGCACAATTAGATAATCAGAGGTTACCATTGGCTAGGTGTATATAACCAATTTGTGTAGGCGTTTCTGTAAAGAGAAATTAAAGTTCTGTATTCCAGCAGTACATAAAGGAATTGTTTGTTCTTTCAGATTACATTTATGGATGTCTTCCAGCGTCCCAGAATTCCCATGCTAGCTCAGCATTCTGACACAGCGTAGGGAGAGATATATAAACCTTGCATGAATGTTTAGCTAAGAGTGTGCATTTTACTGTTTTCAGTGGGGGTTTATGTTCTGCTTGTAAGTTTTTTTTTTATAATTATAGCTTTATTTGCTTTAGAAAGTTTTTTCTTGTATTGTGTGTTGTTGCAGGGCAGCCTGTGTTAAATACTAGAAATTTCCCCACACCTCCCTTTTCCCGTCTTTAGTGATCCTTCACTGAAGCCTTGCAAGTTTGCTTCCATATGTTGACAACTGTCCAAATGATAGGGATATAGCTTTGCTGTAATGGGGGGGATGGGGCAAAGAAGAAGCAGAGTAAATGTATTTAGTATCCAATAACTCTGATGTACATTTTGTTTTAGAAAATGCCTATGTGTCCTAAAACAAAAATGAGAAGGACATTCTACTAAATCAGTGATGGCAAACCTTTTAGAGACCGTGTGCCCAAACTGCAACCCCAAACCCACTTATGCATCATCGGGTGCCGGGTGGGTGTGGCCCATTGGCTGGGTGTGGCCCATTGGCTGGGCATGGTTGCAGTGGTAACGGCAGACTGGGTGGGACTAAAAAGTTCAATAATCAATTCCAACTTTGCAAGATCTTTTTTTTCCCCCGCGAGAAGTTGAAATTGATTGATTGAACTTTTTTTTTTTTTTTGCACATGGCGGCAGAGGCCTAAAGTGAAAAGGTTTTTATAAAACCCAGTTGAAGGCCTAGGACTGGGGTGATGGCGTGTGTCCCCACAGAAAGGCTCTGAGTGCTGCCTCTGGCACCTGTGCCACAGGTTCGCCACCACTGTACTAAATGGTCTGCCAGTACTATGATCCATGTACGCCTTGACTGCTGGGGAGGGGAGAAATCAGTTAAAATGAGTGCATCTTCAAGCTACAGAAAGCTTGGTAGCTCCTGTTTCAGTTAGTAAATGACATGGAGATGGGGCAAGTTTAACATAATTCCATCAGTGGTTTTGGACGGAAAATATAAAAGATTCCATTTGAATCCAAACCCAGCCCTTGTCGTGGTGAAAAGAAGCCATCAAAACATGCCTACCATTTTATGCCGACGATGAGCTGTTAATTCCACATCTGATTAAACATCCTGGTCATTCTGATCAACATCTTGTTCTCCTATTCAAATGACTCTATCTCTTCAAGCGTAGCCAAATTCTGGCCCGCAATATGAAAGGTGCACAGCAGTAAAATACTGATAAATCTTCTCACCTAATTAGCTAAACAGTGTCAATTTTATGTATCCAGGTGGACTCCAATAAAGGTTCTGTTTCTGAGATGGGGCAGGGACTTCTGCATTCATTCTACTTCTAAAGGGCATTTGCTTATTGAAACTGAGGTAAGGATGACAGTAATACTTGAACCTTTTCATCCCAATAGGATTGGCATGCACCACCTGTTTCTCTGGAGTCCAGGAGAAGAGCCTTCTCTGCTGTCCCATCCTTTCCTGCCCTTTGGAATATCTTGCCCCCCCATAGCGAGATTGGCTCCCACCCTCCTCATCTTCTGCAAGAGTGTCACAGTGAAGGTGGTTGATAGTTTAATAATAGATTCCCCCTCCCCCTCTCATCCTCCACTCCTGCCTCTCCATCTTTTAGTCATAGCTGATAGTTTGTACTTTTATAGTTTAAGAGTTGATTTATTCTTTTTTTAACCTGGTAGGCTGCCCAGAGTCACCTCATGCTGCAATGCGCGGCAAACAAATTGAATTGATAAATAAATAGAAATACAGTGGAGCATTTCCGTTCTTCGAAATGTATTTATTCTTGCAACAGCCCTGTGAGGTAGGTTTCACCTAGCTAGCACATCTCAAAAGAGTCCATCATTGATGGGTACAAAAGGACCTTTGTCATTATTTTGCATCTTGAGAATAGTTATTTGATGCACGTGGTCACTATTTAAAAATTTGTGCTGGAGTCTTGATATCCTCTCCAGTTCATATTTGTTCTTTTGCACATGTATTGGAGAAAATTAAAATACCCCAAAACAAATTTAAAAGAAGATTATCTTCTCTGTGTTTACCTCTTCGGCATCTCACGAAAACCAGTGAAGTAAAACAGAAAATCAAAGAGTGTGGCCCGAGTTTGAGCAATCTCTCACATTGACCCTGGCCTGTTTCCCTGCACAGTGCTTCTACTCCCGCTGTGACCCAATTTAAATTTAATCAATGTTGCAGGTTTTAAGTCTAGGAGCATTTGTAATTCTGTAAGTATGTGCTAGAAAAGTATTACCTAGTGGTTATACAGTTGGGGAGTTGGAATACAAAGGTTCGCTCTTCTCTGTGTCTCTTTCACTCTTCCTCTCTCATGCTGGCTGGGGAATTCTAGGAATTGAAGTCCACACAGCTTAAAATTGCTGAGGTTGAAAAACAGTGTGCTCTATCCTAGGGATTAATAACCTTGGCAACTTGCTGGCTGAAGAATTCTGGGAGTTGAAGTCCACAAGTCTTAAAGTTGCCAAGGTTGGAGACCCCTGCTCTATCCCACTCATTCTAAGTGGTGAATTCTTCCTTGACATGCCTTGATTTCAGGTACCCCCTTCAGAGGCCACATAAATATATCTATTGATTCAGTTCTGTTGAATAGTAGGCCCCCTTGACATGTGCTCATCCACCAGCCTGTTATTAATAAAATTGATGTAAACCTAGCTGTTTCAACATGCTAGGGCAGTGATGGCGAACCTTTTAGAGACCGAGTGCCCAAACTGCAACCCAAAACCCACTTATTTATCACAAAGTGCCAGGGCCGCATCAGCATTGTGGTGCCCCCAGGGAGGGGGCATGGGGGCGTAGCCCACTGGGTGGGCATGGCTCCAGTTGTCACAGCAGACTGGGTGGGCATGGCTGGGGTGGGCATGGCCACCTCGATGTTGCTCATGGGATGCCTGTGGGGGCAGGGCAGGGTTGGGGGAGATCCAGGGGGTCTCTGGAAGGTGGGGCGGTGGGCAGGAGG